AAGGAAGAGCTTTCTAGAAGCTATGAAGAGGGGAAAGTGTATTAAAGTTAACTGTGGTAGGCTGCACACAAAGTTGTGTAGTGTTGTGGGCTGGATGGGTTACTCGAATAAGCTTGAGGAGGAGGTAATAACAGGGGTTAAGGAAATTCATTTAAAGCCTACATATTCCTTTTTAAGAAAAAACTTAAGCTACAGGTACATGCTGATTACATGACCAAAATCCTCTATTCCAACTCCCCTGTTCACACTGTATATAGTCTAATAATTCTTCAATGGTCAATGATCCAACAAAAGTCAATCCATAACCCTAAACCTATGAAAACTCTAATAATAAATTTGCTGCTCCATCAACTATGTTCAATGCCTAATTGAAGACTATACAATATAATTATCCGTTCTCTCATCTTTTTTATAATTTCCATTATAAATCTAATTACAGTATTACCCCGCTTAACGCGGTTTCGCTTAGCGCGTTTTACCGTATACGCGGTGCCTCGCCAGAGCCGAAAGTAACTTTCACTTAACACGGGGTTTTTTCAAGTATACGCGGTGAGTGTCCAGCTCGAGAGCTATTTTTAGATTCGCCCCACCCCCCCCTCCACCCGCCACCCTGCCTGACTGCCTGTTTTAGCTCATAAAATTCATACAAATTACCCGGCCAGAATATAATTTACATTGCTGGAATTCTTACAATATGATGATCATTTTGAATATAAACATCATAGATTTTGCATTAGACATACAAATTTTACATATAATGTTTACTCTGAGTAAATATGTTATTTTTTGTGCAAAATATATGACATTTGTATTCAAAAGATTCCTGGGCTTACAAGGAATCCAGCAATGTCAATTATATTATCCTAACTTTAGTTTGAGGTATTATTTATTACTAAAAAGTTAAATATTCTGGTTTCCCCACACATCTGGTAGGGACGGTTGGTGGGGGGTGGGGGGGGAGGGATGGACTGACCGACCATCTGTTACCTTGTGAAGAATATATGTTTTTTTTTATTAACTGAAGATATTTGTTTTAGCTCATAAAATTCATACAAATTACCCGGTCAGAATATAATTTACATTGCTGGAATTCTTATAATTTGATGATCATTTTGAATATAAACATCATAGATTTTGCATTAGACATACAAATTTTAGAAGTAATGTTTACTCTGAGTATATATGTTACCTTTTGTGCAAAATATATGACATTTATATTCAAAATACTCCTGGTCTTACAAGGAATCCAGCAATGTCAATTATATTATCCTAACTTTAATCTGAGGTATTATTTAATACTAAATGTTAAAATTTAGTTTTTTCACCCAACATCTCTTGAAGGGAGGATTGGTGGGGGGTGGGGGGAGGGTTGGGACTGACCGTGGCGGTTGGAAGAGGGGGGGAGGCAAGGTGGGGTACTTTGATTGACAGATAGTGTCGTGAAGAATATTTTTTTTTTATTAACTGAAGATATTTGTTTTAGCTCATAAAATTCATACAAATTACCCGGCCAGAATATAATTTACATTGCTGGAATTCTTACAATTTGGTGATCATTTTGAATATATACATCATAGATTTTGCATTAGACATACAAATTTTAGATATAATGTTTACTCTGAGTAAATATGTTATCTTTTGTGCAAAATATATGACATTTATATTCAAAATATTCCTGGTCTTACAAGGAATCCAGCAATGTCAATTGTATTATCCTAACTTTAGTTTGAGGTATTATTTATTAAAATTTAGTGGTTTTCCCCCAAAAATTTCTCAGAGAGGGAAGAGCCAGCAGTGTAGTGTGAGAAGAGGGGGAGGGAGTTGAGTCCATTATTTGAATGGACATTAACTTGGTTTTCACTTAACACGGTACCCTGTGGGTTTTATTGACCGCGTTAAGCAGGGTACTACTGTATTTGTTTTATATTTTATATCCATTACTTATCAAAGTTGGTTCACTACATAACATTTTTATTTTCCAGATGATGAATAATGAATCTGCCTCATTGACCACTATAAAAAAATAAAATCGCAAGGTTTCTTAATCCTTTAAGGATGATTCCAGCACCTGTTGTGTTTTGCTCGCCACAACAATTCTCGCAACTATTGCAAATTCACCTTTTTTGCCATTTTCAATGATTATATGGGTCCCTCACCACCCTGCTAACTCTGAGGTAAGAGTGATTGCACATCTTAAAATATAAATCAAAACAAATCTGCAGTAACCTCTGCCATGGGCAAATAATTTAACTCTATAAATTATTTTAATCTACTTCATATAATTGCTATGACTAATGCAAACAAAAGGAAAACACAATATGAGCACTGTACTTCAATTTTTTAGGGCTGGCACAATGAACATAGAGCTCTTATGCTTGGTACCTCCACTGTGAGAGGTTGGCAAACATGTGTCTTCCATGATGTAAAACAAAGCACTGATTAAAAGGGGAAGGAGAGACCCGATCGGTGCTACGCAGAGTGATAGCAAGCCATGTAGTTTAAATTGTGATGCAAGAACATAAGACGTCAATTGTGTAATTCACAAATATCAACTTCATATCCTATTACTCAGAAATCAATGAACATTAAGTCTAAAAAAAGAAAATCCAGAACATGACTCGTAACTCTAAAATTCCACCAAGACTTCTTGACAACTCTACAGACAACAATGCATCTAGTTTTGAAACCTAGTTTAAGGCAGTTTAACCAGACATAAAACACCAAGAGTCCCCCTGACACTATCTCAATTACCCCCTAGTTTAAGGCAGTTTAACCGGGCATAAAACACAAAGTTCGAAATGTTTAACAAGCTGTACATCATTATGAAGGACCTAACATACACTAATCAGTCTACTAAAAGCTCATTTATATACTTACACTGGAAAAATAGTCTACACTTACAGTAGTTTCAAAATATCTTATTGCTAATTATATAAATCTAGTCTATTTCTTTCATTTTAAAAATTCACAGAGTGCAAGGAATACAAATAAGCAGTACTCTTTAGACATTACCAGGCATATGAACATATGGAAAGCTGGTATGAATCACCACCACTGCTAAAAGTTCACTATGCTTAGCTTAAAACAAAGCTCTACATCCCTTGAGTTGGTCCTAAAGAAATTTTCACTACCCAGGACCGGCTGACCGGATCTGGATTTCTTACACACACACACACACACACACACACACACACACACACACACACACACACACACACACACACACACACACACACACACACACACACACACACACACACACACACACACACACACACACACACACACACACACACACACACACACACACACACACACACACACACACACACACACACACACACACACACACACACACACACACACACACACACACACACACACACACACACACACACACACACACACACACACACACACACACACACACACACACACACACACACACACACACACACACACACACACACACACACACACACACACACACACACACACACACACACACACACACACACACACACACACACACACACACACACACACACACACACACACACACACACACACACACACACACACACACACACACACACACACACACACACACACACACACACACACACACACACACACACACACACACACACACACACACACACACACACACACACACACACACACACACACACACACACACACACACACACACACACACACACACACACACACACACACACACACACACACACACACACACACACACACACACACACACACACACACACACACACACACACACACACACACACACACACACACACACACACACACACACACACACACACACACACACACACACACACACACACACACACACACACACACACACACACACACACACACACACACACACACACACACACACACACACACACACACACACACACACACACACACACACACACACACACACACACACACACACACACACACACACACACACACACACACACACACACACACACACACACACACACACACACACACACACACACACACACACACACACACACACACACACACACACACACACACACACACACACACACACACACACACACACACACACACACACACACACACACACACACACACACACACACACACACACACACACACACACACACACACACACACACACACACACACACACACACACACACACACACACACACACACACACACACACACACACACACACACACACACGAAAGCGCTTATTAACTTCGTGGTTTCTTGTGTGGTTATCAGCACATGCACGTACACAACCATGTATGCACATACACAGTGTTATCTCCATGAGCTGGAACAATTGTGCTGAGCACTTCCGGGAATGAAATATTTCCATGTAACGAGACGACTCTCTCAAAGTCTAATAATGCAGCTACACTTAATTGAAAAGAGAATTAAGTTAAAAATGCTTTTGTAATTCTATTCATCAAAAAACAATGGGAATATTGAGGCAGAATTAGAATTACCTAAAGATGTTTCAGTGACACTACAACTGTTTGTACCTCATCATGATTCTTGTCAGCTGGGTCCTGGGCTGTGGTTATCAGATGCTATCTGTGGGATTATGAATATCATGCATATTCGTGACTTGTCCTTTATACAATGTAACTTCAACCATATCCAATTCCTATATTGTTGGCTCATCTACATCTAACAATAAATAACCACTAGAGACCTAATTGGATCAATATGGAAAAAAGTAACTTAACATTTGAAGGTAAATATCACCAATAACCTGTCATGCCTATTATACTCGGGTCACTTGTCAAGCGGATTGTGTGAAAGGACATCAAAAGTAAAATGGTAATGAGGACATTTATAAAAGCAGAAACAATGCCTGACAACCTAAAAAAAAAATTCTGCAGTAAAGTTGTTATAATTATCCATTTGATGTCTTACTTTCCCAATTTGGGATCTAGACATACCTGGTGGTAAATTTTCACATGCTGTCCCTTGATCCTCTCCATTAACGTAATAATGGAGTGAGCCATCCGAGTGCCTCATCATCCCCACTCTGGTGCCCACTACAAGAGAATCCAAGTCACAACGGTAATTGTTCATAATGGTCACACCATCACGCATGACAGATGATCCACTAAGCATCCATGTGTCATAATCAATGTCAGTCATGGTGCTTGGGAAATCTATTTCCTCTGGAGGAATGGCTGTAACCCCTGAAAAGGAAAATTATGACAAATGAAAGTATATGTTCTATTAGTATCAATACCAATTAAGATGAAGTTGTAATGAAATTGAGTAAACCTATCATCAATTATTATATTACACAAAAAAATTCTGAATTACAATCCATGGTGAGCCATTGTGAACTAACACACATGTAGTTTAACTTGATCAAATAAATATCACAGATAAGAGAATACAGTTGACCTCTCCTATTTATGGGGATTAGGTTCGACAGACCCTGCGAATTGTCAAACTCCACAAATAGTGTTAGTACCCATAGTATTGTAAGTTTGAGATATTTGAGTCACCCATAAACACAACCATACTGTACATGTTATTTCAGTATGTTTTCTTTAAATACAAATACAACGGTGAAAAACATCAAGAAAAGAATCAAATCATACAATAAACTACACAGTAAGTATAAAATAAGAACAAATTAAGTGGAAAGGGCACTGTGTGTGACAGAGTAGCATGGTGGATGGGTGGCTAGGCTGGACTCAATGGAAATTTCCCACCACTTTATAACAACAGTATACAATTTCACCATAATTCCCATATTATTTAGGTTCATTTAGTGCCAGGTTAATAAAACATTATAAAACAGTCAATTTTCCTGAAGAAAAAATCATACACCACACTCCACCTCAAATGAAGTGTGGTTTAAGGTATAGATTAACGTCCGCTAAAATAAGGGACAACCAGGTTTCGGGCATATATCTAAATCCTTGAAAATTTTTAAATTCCCACTAATCACTATGGGCCCTAGAACAACAAATAAGCATGTTGAAGTGTCTGGCGTCCACCCCCGCTCATATTCACCACTCCAGACAGGCATATTTCCACCTGTCCCTTTCCTCCACTCCCCTCCCTACAGGGTGAGCCTGCCAATGTTGCACCTTCCCTGGACTCTTCCTTGGCAAACCCCATGTTGCTTCCCAGCCCTGTCACATCGCTGCCTGCCTCTCACCACATGTATCGATCACACCACCCCACAGGACATCTACAAACACATGCCCTTGTTCGCCTAGACAAAGATGAGGACAGGGTCGCCGCCCTGGTGCCAGAGTGCCTGATGAAGACTGGCAGTGAATTTTGTGCATTCTCCCCATGCCTTTGACAACACTGCTTCAGGAGTGCAGACTGATTTGGTGGATAATGACAGCAGGAAAGTAAGTTTTTCCAGCTTTTCTTTACTCTTGACATTGCTCAGTACTTAAAGATGCCCCACCCCCTCCTCAAGAGTTACAGCTGATTGGCTGTTGCAAATCTGTCTGATTTCGTCCTGAAGTTGTTCACAGTTATATTTCCCGCCTCGAATGACGGCTGTTCGCTCGAGCGGCCAAGTCTGTCACACTCATCCACCAATTTTCAGGGGCCGTGTAATATTTCAATGTGATTCTGGTCTTTTAACAAATTAGTTTTTGCATAATGTAATTTTACTGATACGTAATTTGTCTTAGTATGCCTTATTGTGGGTAAATATAAGTATATATTGAATGCATCCTCCAAAAGCATGAATTTGTTACCAGAGTTTAACAATTAATTCATGTATAAGATTTCTGATAAACTTCCCACATTCTCATGTTTGAAATAATTAATATATGTATCAATATAATTTAGCTAAATATCTTTCTCGTCAGAAACGGTCATCCCAACGATTATGAATAAACTCATTTAGAAATACATCATTACTTCAGGACAAAATCGAACAGATTTGCAACAGCCAATCAGCTGTAACTCTTGAGGAGGGGGAGGGCATCTTTTCTCAGCTGAGAAAAAATGCACTCTAGTGAACAAGACTAACACATACAATGTCTTTGTGTTGGCTGGCATGGTGCTGTTGCCCCACTCTCGTCAACTCCAGTGGACATCAACAGATGTTTGTGAAATGTATTCATTCCTGGCTTTGGTAATGTTGATGGGATTATTGAAAAAGAACAGTTACAGGGACTATTAGACAACTGATCCCCTCTATGCCACCCCCATCTTCAGCCAGGTAATGTCACTGAATCGATTTACGAACATTCTACAATCCCTACATTTCTTTGACAACAAAATCACATTTCTTTGAGGGAACACTGACACAATGTTATGTGATTGATTACTTGAGGGCCAAGTTCAAGGAGTCCTTTTACCCCTTCCAGAAGACCTGCATTGATGAGAGTTTAGTGCTATGTTAAGGCAACTTATCCCTCAAAGCGGCATCGTTTCGGTCTCAAGTGTGACTCTGATTCTTTATATATTCAGGATATGTTGCAGTACACAGCCAGTTCGATGAGAGTGGACAAGACAAGCCCCCTTGGATTGTCTGGCAAGATTGTACAGATGTTATTCGAGCCACACCAACATAAGTGGCACATTCTTTATTTGGATAATAGGTATTCCAGCCCTAGGCTCTTTGAGTACCTGCCCCACCACATGACAGGTGCATGTGCCACTGTCAGGACACTTCCCTTCAGTGATTCCATCCACAGGGGCAAAGCAGTATTCTAAAAAAAAAAAAAATGTCATGTATGCTGTACGAGTGAAATCCATGCCAGAAAACTCAGACACTTGCTACCAGTGTACTCAGTGTGATGTTACTCGGTGCATGCTTCCATAAACAGTATAAATATATATAATTTGTCATTATTTTAGGGTATCAGCACAACATGACGCAATGGAGGCATTATGACAGTGTATATGTGGTAAAAGTTTACCATACAAATTTGTGCCGACTCCTAAAAAGTGTCACAGTGAATAATATTCACATAAGTGAGTACAATAAATAGTAAAATAGTGTAGAATTATGTAAATTTATGTATTGTTTATGTATCTGGTGACTGAAGCTCATCGCAGCATGTATGCTATGCAGCAAAGGCCTCACTCATGTACACATTCCATTTAGAATTGCCAAATGTAAATAAATAAAAAAAAATTCTATGTTTGAGATCCATTTTTTATTCACCTACCTATCCAGTATTATATAATCATAAGTCTAGGAAAAAAAAAAAAGGAAATAAAATTAAGTAATATGTCTCCCGGGCCATGCGGAGATCATGACAACGTTGCATTTAAAAGGCAAAAATTTCTATGATTCAGGCACATGATTTGCTACTTTCTAACCATTTCACATGATTTTGGAGATAATTATCTAGCTTTTCCAGCAAAAATATATAAACTAAAATAAACAGTTTTTTGGGGATATCTAGGTTTATTATATGGTAACCACATAGGGTTTGATAATAGTTTCTATTTTGTAGAAATAGCAGGAAAAAGGTTAGAAAATCAATCAATCTATATACTATGGTAAACACTCAATGTATAGATAATATTAATGCTGTCACACAACATAAAATTAAGCAATAACTCACCTGCCTCTAAAGAGCCTGACCACCTGTCTACCATCTTGTCTATCATAACTTCAAACATTTCTCCCTCATGAAGCTGTCGGTTGCTTATCACTATAGCATCATTGAACTCTCCATGGGCATTAGGTCTCTGAGCAGTCAAGCCCCCATTTAATATTCTTGCATTCTTCCCATGGAGATGATGAAATCTTAGATCACTGAAAAAATAAACAAATCTTCTAATAAAGACACTTATGATTAATAATTATAGTGCATTTTTTCCCAGTTGAGAAAAGATGCCCTGCCCCCTCCTCAAAATTTAAAGCTGATTGACTGATTGAGGAGGGGGTGGGGCATCTTTTCTCAGCTGGGAAAAAACATGCTTTAGTCAAAATATCTTTTGAAAATTATACATTGAGCAGACACTTCACAAATTGTCATTCAGTATTTCACAAAACAACTTAATTCAACTCATTTCACTTACAATCAAATCAATGTTAACTTTACAAAAAATGCCATCGTTTCCATTTTCTGATAAAATTCAATAAGATAAAAATAAATTCGATCAAAACATTGATAAGAATATTTAACTTTTTGATTGTGGGTGTGCCATACAGTATATGGAACAGAACCCCACTATGCATCAAAAGTGCCACACAAAGAGCACTTGAAAATGAAAATGTTACATTGAGAGGATGAGAACCATCCAGTAAGCTTCCCTAACATCCAAATCAACCAAATGATTAACCTTAACAAAACAAATCTAAAATTCAAAGACAATTCCTGGAAATCCCATTTCATAGCAGAATCAGGACAAGGAGACTTGAGTATTATAACCATAAAGCCTACAAGTTCCCATCCAAACTTAAATCGTACACATTGACGACTGACACGAAGAGACAATTAATGCCCTTAGATAAGGGAGTGATAGTTACCATGATGGGCTGAGGTGATTAATTCTTCGTGCTACAGTAACTTCTACATTGTAATTTCTCAGGTTCATAATTTTCAATAACAAGGCTCAGTCCTGGTGACCTCCATGACAAAACCCAAAAGGAAGGAAGGAATATTCAGAGACTCTGTAGCCTTACTTCTATCAGTCCAAGGAGACAGTAGCTAAAACAACTATCTGTGCAGGTGGGGGTCAATATGCTCCAAAATTTTAAGTGCAACTAGTGACAGCCCTCATATACCAAAATTTATCATCCATGGTCTCATAAAGTTCCCACAAAGTATGCACAGACAGTTGTTTTAGCTACTGTACATACAGTATTTAAAAAAGCTAGATAAAAGTGATATGGCGGCAAAATACTTCATGTTCCCGAGAACTGCATCTCATGAGGTTAATAACTGAAAGACACAGCCACCTCTTTTAACATAGGGGGTATTAGGTCTGAACAGAAGTCCCAAACACTGGACCAGACAAATAGATTTGTCAAAGCTGCCATTCAAGTTTTACGAATCCATTTGTTAAATTACTTAAAAGTAACTCAATGTACAGGATTCCTCTTTGGACTTATGGTCGTATTCACAGTCAACATGCATGAAGATGATCCTGACCATCAGAAACACAAAGTTCATGGTGGCAGACTTTAATAAATAAGAATGTGCTTCAGGCACTACGATGGGTAAAGGTCCTGGTCCACCAGGTAGGGCCACCAACATGTAAAAATTGGCAGGATGGTCAGTTGTCACATGTAAGCAAACGGCATTTGATTTAATATGTTTCAGGATGTTAAGATTATTATATGCTGTTTTACTTCATTTCTGTTTTCCATCCTTGAATATTGTGCCCGTTTGGTTTTCAGCTGCAGTGCCACTTAAAAATAATTTATAGGGTTTTGAATGTAGCCACATTCCTTTGTTATGAGGCTGATTGGGTTGCTCTTGAGCATCATCTCTGTTGGTGATTAGTGTTTGCTTTATGAAATCTGCTTGAATCTTATATCCCAGCTACATGTACAGTATCATCTCTCTATACCGAAGTTCAATACAGGTATCCCTCGAGATATGAACATTCAAGGTGTGAAAATTAGCTTAGACGACTTTCCTAAATTGACACCACTATTTTCATTAAAAAAAATTTTTTCCGTTTATACAAATTTGGGTTCCCAGAAAAAGTTTAAATAGCACGCCCCCATGAGTGAGCTGGGGCAGCCACATCCCCCTAGCACTCTCCCAACCAGGCTATGGTAGGAGTTATGGTTATTTTTAAACTCATAATTTCGGGTACAGAAAAATAACTCTCAACATTTTGTTTTTCATTCAGTTACATGCACACACAATCACACAAACAATATGTAAAAAAAAATACCAATTATCATAAGGTCAAAAACATAAGGGAATAAATATTTCTTATGTTTGCAGGACTTATACTTACCCCTTCCCCGTGTGGTTCATTCTCTTTTTTTAAAGAATGTCTCCTCTCACAGAGGGACTATCCCTGTTTACACTGATGGCTCTAGTCAGATGCAGTGGTGAGTTTTGGGTGGTGTTTCCCGAAGCCTGTGGGGACGGTAGTCTCCCCACCATGGCATCTATTTTTACAGCGGAGCTATTGGGAATTTTACTTTCCCTCCAGATCATTTTTACCTAATCTCATAGCAATTTTAAAATTTTTAGCATTTCTCGTAGTGCTGTCCAGGCCTTAGCTAGTGTCTCATGGCCCCATCCCTTAGGTATAGATATTTTACAGTGGCTGTTTCTCATATAACGTTGGGGCCGGAAAGTTAGTTTTTGCTGGGTTCCAGCCCATGTGGGGGAGAAGGGTAATGAGCATGCTGATGCTGAGGTGAAAACAGCTGCTTCTCATCCTGTGACACATCATTCCCCTCTACCTACCTCTGATATGAAGCTAGTAATAAGAGCTGCCATCCACTCAATTTGGCAACGCAGACGGGATGCTGTCGGAGCAAACAAGCTCCGTGACATCCATCCAACATTGGGTGCCTAGGGATATCAGGGACTGTTGCTCTGCCAGGAGACTGCTTTGGCCAGCATCCATATTGGCCACACACAGCTGACTAAAGGCTTTTTAAAGGAGAGGGTTCCCCCTCCCCATTGAGATAACTGCCTGGTCCTATTCACTGTTCGACATCTACTGGTGGAGTGCCCCACTGCCCCTGTGCTGGGGAGGAGATGGGTCCTACCGTCTCTCTTTGGTGCTGAGAGGAGGAGTGGGTAGTGTGGGAGGGGACGTCTTCTCCTTCGTGGAGGAAGCCGGCCTTCTACACAAGCTTTGAGTTTTATGTATTAACATTTAAAAGTATTTTACGAAAGTTCTGTATTACAGGTTGTACCTCTCTAGTCCGGCAACCTCAGGACCTGACCGGTGCCGGGCCATGGAAATTCACCCTTTTCCTGGATAGATAGTGACTTGTGCTTATGCTTGGAAGCACTAGCACCACTTTCTCTGCATCATGGTCTCTTTGAAGACATATTGAAGGGTTAAATGTCGTATAGTAGCTTCTCAAATTTCGCGAGTTTTTAATTCTAAACGTATTTTATTGGAACACACAAAAAAATAAATAAATAAAAGTTTTGACGGCGGAAACTTGAATTTCGACGGGTTTGAACGGCCCGCCAACGTGCAGACGACGTGCATAATCGTGTAAACAGCGTCATTTCTCTTATATACAAAAGATTCATTTTTGTTTATTAATGAATGTCTTTTTTATTGAATTAATGTTTATGTGTGCAAAATGAGCAATACAATTCATTAATAATACGTAGAATATTAAAACACACGAGGAAATGACGCAGCATTGTTTTCGTTGATTACAAAACCAGTGACTGACTGGTTCTACATATAAAACTGAAGAGAAATAAGACCTTAGCTGTAGCTGTAGTAAAATTAATATGGTTGTTTTAAGTAATCTTATTTAATGTTAATAAATGGAACAATAGCAGTAGCTAACGATAATGGTAAAGAAAAAAAGAGAGATCGCGTATGTAAGTGCGCATGCGCACACGTGAAAACATATCGTCATTACTTTACATAAGAATATGAAAGCAACACTTATTTACTGTTCATATATATTTTAATTAATGTTTCTGAATTTGTTTTTATTGAATTAATGTTTGTGTGTGCAAAATTAACAATACAACTTATTAATAATACGTGGAAGTACCTGTAAAGCTATATAATGTTAATAAATGGAACAATATAAGTAGCTAACCATTATTGGTAAAAAAAAAAGTGAGACTGCGCGTATGTAAGTGCGCACATGTGAAAACACATCATCATTACTCTACATAAGAATATGAAAGCAACACTTATTTACTGCTCATATATATATTGAAGGGTTAAATGAATGAGAGAGAGAGAGAGAGAGAGAGAGAGAGAGAGAGAGAGAGAGAGAGAGAGAGAGAGAGAGAGAGAGAGAGAGAGAGAGAGAGAGAGAGAGAGAGAGAGAGAGAGAGAGAGAGAGAGAGAGAGAGAGAGAGAGAGAGAGAGAGAGAGAGAGAGAGAGAGAGAGAGAGAGAGAGAGAGAGAGAGAGAGAGAGAGAGAGAGAGAGAGAGAGAGAGAGAGAGAGAGAGAGAGAGAGAGAGAGAGAGAGAGAGAGAGAGAGAGAGAGAGAGAGAGAGAGAGAGAGAGAGAGAGAGAGAGAGAGAGAGAGAGAGAGAGAGAGAGAGAGAGAGAGAGAGAGAGAGAGAGAGAGAGAGAGAGAGAGAGAGAGAGAGAGAGAGAGAGAGAGAGAGAGAGAGAGAGAGAGAGAGAGAGAGAGAGAGAGAGAGAGAGAGAGAGAGAGAGAGAGAGAGAGAGAGAGAGAGAGAGAGAGAGAGAGAGAGAGAGAGAGAGAGAGAGAGAGAGAGAGAGAGAGAGAGAGAGAGAGAGAGAGAGAGAGAGAGAGAGAGAGAGAGAGAGAGAGAGAGAGAGAGAGAGAGAGAGAGAGAGAGAGAGAGAGAGAGAGAGAGAGAGAGAGAGAGAGAGAGAGAGAGAGAGAGAGAGAGAGAGAGAGAGAGAGAGAGAGAGAGAGAGAGAGAGAGAGAGAGAGAGAGAGAGAGAGAGAGAGAGAGAGAGAGAGAGAGAGAGAGAGAGAGAGAGAGAGAGAGAGAGAGAGAGAGAGAGAGAGAGAGAGAGAGAGAGAGAGAGAGAGAGAGAGAGAGAGAGAGAGAGAGAGCAGCCAACGTAAAACAAACGATTTCTCTGAAGCTTTTAAAGGGATTAGCCCACCCGGCATAGGTCACTGACCCACATTGGGGCCTGAGGGGCAA